TATCTCTATTTGTAGTTTGTTTAGAAAAGTCCTGTTGATTTAATTTTGTGTAGTTTATGTGGTCTTAAATTCCTGCTTAATTTCTTGTAGGTAGCTAAAATCGTATTGAAGTTATAACATTTTTTGTGATTTTCAAAAACAATTGTGTGAGGACCGAAACATTAAGCCTGAAACCATAGCCAAGCTTGTGCAGATGGTTTTCTACGCTTGTGTGCTACATAAGTAGGGCCATAACAATCTCTCACACTGATTTGGGTGGAATTTTGATGATCAATGGCCTTTACATTGCTCGTTTCAATTTCATGTAGGCGACCAGACCGTTGAGCATCATTGATGTCAAAATTTCCTGAATGAACCAATTTTGACAGGTGCGTTCGGTTAAGGCATCATCCCCATAAACGTTGCAAATTTTTCTGCTGCTTATCTTTTTTAAAATAATCAATAATATCTTCTTCCATATTCACAGTGCAATAGCAAACACAATACTGAAATAGTTTCAACAAGAGTTAAACAGCTATAGTTGTTGACATATTGCAAATAGGATAAAAAATCCAACTTAAGGATTAATTCATCAGATAAGAATTTTATCATAGTGACATAAAAATAAACAGAAAAACCAAAAGGACTTATTTGCTAACCCAATATATATAACTTTATATGTGAATTTCGAGATTATGCAGAAAAATGTAACTTCCATATTAGCTATATATTCAACTGCTCTCACTGTTTATATAAATCAATATATACACAGTTTTATTTATAAAAAATATATATCATTTGTACATACCTATAGCACTTGAATAAGTTATGTATAAATACGTATCATGCAGGATTTCCCATAAAAGATTATAGTAGAACCCAGAAGCTACAAAAGAACTTAAATTAACCATGGTTCTTCAATTTTATGTTTCTAAGTAATATAGTTTATATATCTTTAAATTCATACATGTATTAATGCATGAAGCAAGTACAAATTAACAAACAAATAAATCATGCTCTGATTTTTTCTAGAATATTAGGAAATTTAAGTTTTGTACCTTTTTAGCAGAAAGGTACGTTGTTTGATGAATAGGAAGGGATTACTAAACAAAAGGATTAATTTAAGTAATTAACAATTACTTCATATTATACTAGAGAAATTTCTTTCAGAAGGAAAATTTTGTTTTTGTTAAATTCATTTAAAGGGCTAATAGTCCAGGCAATGAATGATCATAGAAAAAAATGATCTTTAGGACATTATTGGGACTAGTAAGGTGGTAGGTAAACATACTAAAAGTCATCCTCATTGCTAGGTGGTGAGCCAGGTGTTGGGAGGAGTAGGAAGAAAAGGGAGGGAGGCACACAGGTCACTTTTTTCGGGTTTTCACTTATATCAGAAAAACTATCTATTGCATCAACAAAGAAGTTCTATACAAAATTAAAAATAATTAAATTTTCAATAATATTGATTATATATCTTTTTTCCGCAATGTCGTTAAGTTTCCAAGATATCCGTTCTTAACTGTCGCTAATTTGGAAAAAAGTGTTTTTACCTCATGTTTTTTACTGTATTTGATTCGCTAACTCTTGATTGCTTCGTTATAAGATTAATTCATGGAGTAGAAAGTTTTTAGTAATTAAATTGTTTTCAATAATATATATTATTTTACTATTTTTATCTACAATTGTTCAAAAGTTAGATCAATTATAATTTTATATGTCAATTCCAAGAATTTTGCAGGAAAAATTAATTTTTATAATTTTCATTATTATATTGCTCTATCTA